AGAGTAAAACAGGGCCATAATTGGTTTTTGAAGTGTTCCATCTCACATTCTCAGGCTGGTGACCCTTCATTCCTTTGTTATTAGCTTTCTATTTTCATTTATCAGCATCATTTATTCTTCTGTCTTCCTAAAGATATGTAAGAATTTTTGAATAAAATGTTTCTTTTCCACATTTGATGATGGCAACATGAGTCACTGTTCCACTCAGACCATGGACACTTCCTTATATTCATGCAGGTCAAGTCATTACACAGCACTTGGTTATTTTGTTTTTGTTATTGTTCCTCAGTTTGGAAGAGGAAAACAGGAGTCTTGCTTGTGCTGAATGTAATCTCAATGACACCAACAAAGGAGGGTCCCTTGAGCCAGCTGTATTTAGGGCAAAACTCTCAAATCAAATAATAAAGTATAATTTGTTTGTTAAAGAATAAAAACTAATGACCAGGTAGGTGGTTGTGTTTTTCCACTACTGAGTGAGTCAGCGGGGTTCAGTTTCTATTTCACCATCATCAAAGCCCAAAGGAAAGAATTAACCCAAGAAAAATGGGAAAGTAAGCACTGGAGTCATATAGAAAGTCTCTAGCAGTCTTGACTTTAATTTTTAGAAGGACTTTTCCATTCTTAGCATTTACCATATATTTATCTCATTTTTCTACAAAGATCTTGTCAACCTTTATATATAGTCATCTGGGCTCTAAGCAAGAAGTTAAAATTAAGGGCTTGTTTTCTAAGTGGATTCCCAAATGCTTTTACAAAGCATGGTAGATTTAACAAATTTAATAAAAGCAGTCTCCACTTTGCTTCAATAAATGAAGAAGTTGTTCATCTCCTCAGTTAGATAGCAGTTATCCTATCTTTAGTGTTTAGTTTATATTATTGCATCATATGTGTTGATAAATGTTTTAAAATATACATTTCAAACACCAGCTTTTAAGATAAAATAAAATAAAAAAACACTCAAAACTCTTTCTCCATGGATTATAAAGGGATGCTCTTATTTAACTGACAAGCTGTGTTTCTAGTACTTGCCCATATTCAATTCCATTGCCAATTAGTATTTTTTAAGCCTACATAATAAATTCCCACAAACTCTGAGCAAAATGTAGGTGTCATTCAGATGTGAAGACCTATTACAAGATTGAAACAGATTTCTAATGCATTTATCATTCATTTTGTAGCATGTGATTTTTTTTAAAAAAAAGATGAATGGTTTGACAGTTCCCACTCATATACACTGAAACATAATACACTTGTACTAGTTTGGGGCTATTATGGACCTTAACATGCAGTGTGACCTTGGTCTGAGAAAACATGTTTGGTTAGCACAGAAACTTAATCATAAGAAGTCATTAGTAGAATCCTTCTTCTTTACAGCCCTTTTCTAGGACTAGGAAATTTATTGCTTGTGGGACAGGTAGGATATGAACAATGGGCCAAATAGAGTCCAGGGTTATCTCATCTGTGTGAAAACTGCTGCTGAAAATCAATGTGACCTCTGCTACACTGTCATCGCAATTCCCACCCTCCGTGTCCTATTTGTCTTTTGGTAGAAGCTTAGATCTGTGTGCCTGTCTCTATGTGTCTCTCTTGGGCCAGATTATCAAAATGAATCATTGCCTGCATACCTCTTATATTTCTATTTATTTTCCTGGTGTTGACTAGGTCTGATGAAATATGATTCTTTTTGCATTTGATCCTCACTGCAGCCAGTAACACCTAATTCAACCATGTCTATCTCTTTAAAGAAGAGTAATACTATTTGAAACTTCAATCTCCTGTACAGCAACACAAACCATAGACCATACAACCTGTCTTCATAGACAATAGTAATTTTCCTTTTAGCCAATTTAGTGGCATTTCTTTCATCTCCAAATAGAAAACTTTGGGCAATTTTAATGTGGTTATAATTTTGTTTTATGCATACTGAATGTATTGCTTCTTTTTCAGGCATCTTATTTGTAAAATACTCCTCAGATTGTTACCACTGAGTTAAATGTGTGTGTAGAGCAATACATAACAAGAAATCCATTAATTTTAAGAATTCTGCCACTAATACAAAATATTTATTCAGGGGAAATATTAAAATCTCCAAATTAGCAGGAAGTGAATGTAGCAGTTCATTTTTTAAAAATAGATCTTCTAGGCTACATAAAATTTTACTTTAAGATTTATAAACATCAATAAAAACGTATAGAACCTCTTCCGTTATTATTAATTTTGGTAGAGCATTATGAAGTCACTCTATCCATTTAATGCACTCATGTGCAAAAGACAAAATACTATATAATACAGAATTCAAAATATACAAATAAAGTATAATATCTCCTGGTTAGTTATTAAGAAATGTACTTTAAAAACATTAGATCTGTTGCCTAAGACATATTTTAAGATTTGGGGTGTTTTTGTTGTTGTTTTTTGAGATATTTCAAGTGTTCAAATCTTGTATTTGAAATAGATCACAAAATTTGTGATAATGTGCTCATTTCCTCTGAATTTCTTCACCTCTTACAAAACTGCCATGGACAGAAAGGAAAGAAGGGAGAAAGGAAGAAAAGAAGGAAGAAAAGGAAAGACAGAAACTAAGACAGAGAGGGAGGGAGAGAGAAAAAGATAGAGAAAAGAGGAAAGAAAAGAAAAGGGGAAGGAGAAGGAAGGACAGAGAGGAAAGGAAGGAGAAATGTTCTATAAAATGTTAGAGGTAATATTATAAGAGAGTTATAGAAAACACTTTCATCACATGTTTATGATTAAAATTTATTATTATTTGTATATTTAAACATCAGCTTTTAAAAAATGAATGTATTGGTATGACATTGGTTAGTAAACTTACATAGGTTTTAGGTATACAATTATATAATACATCAGAATTTTATTTTTAAGATTTACTATAAAAGCACTCCAAAAAATGTTCATAGTAGCATCCTGTGTTAAAAGAAAAGTAATAGGTTTATTTATGCATTTAATAGAATTAAGACAGATAAACAAATACTCTTTATAACATTTTGGATATAAATAACATGAAGCTTTAGTGAAAATAATTTTGATTCTCTGAAAATAGTTGCTGAGCATTTTTATCCTTATAGATTTTAAAACATTGAAAGTTGTAAAGGTGATCTATAGTAAAAGCATTTTATTCAGAGATAATGCTATCCCATCTCACAGAAGGTTCCCACAATTCTATGCCACAGCTTCCCACACAAGAATTCCCATAACAAACCATGTTGACTGTGAAATAAATGGGGTTCAAGACTCTGCACATTACATATATAGAATGCTTACAATTGAAACATGAGGTCTAACTGTATGACAAATCCATATTCCCTACAGGAACCAGAACCAATAGCTAGGTTTGTGTTTTCAAACCCTGTGAAAATTGGTTAGTCTGGATATAAGCCTAGTTTTTGGTGTGTGTTTTTTCTTGTATTAGTCTCATAACATATGGAGTTACTGAAAATTCTTTTGACTAGAGACAAGCATATTTTCCAAACTTTGCTTATGCCCAGTTACTGAAATAAAGAGACTGTAGTGAGTAGAGTAATTTTGTTTGAGTTGCTATGATTCACACCATCATACAGTGTTGTTGAAGCTATTTAAGAATACCAGGGTTTGTTTAGTTACATTGCAAGAATGTCTCTTTGAATCAGATTCCTTTTACATATGTCAAAAAAATCCCAATTCCTAATTGCAGAGGAAACTTTGCTATCTGGTTCATACATCTCACATAAAATATTTTCAACCAGAATTCAAGTGGATAGACAAACAGTTGGCTTCTCAAAGTAAGAGGAGATTCACATTTATCCAAAATCATTTTGAAACATCTTATTTTTATCTGAGATTTAGAGAAAATCTTATTAAAATAAAGAGAATATGGGAGAAGAAAATAAAATTAAAAGGGGAAAATGATACAACATCTCTTTTTACAAGACAAATGATTTTTTCATGAGAAATATTATTGGAAACAAAAAGTACCACTAGAATCTAGCCAAATGTCTATCAACTAGTGAATGATTAAACTAAAAGCAATATATCCATGCAATGGAATAATTTTCAACAATAAAGAAACCAATGACTCATGCTACAACATGGATGAACCTCAAAACATTATGCTGTAGTTTACATCCCTTTGACTATTTTGTAACTACCAATCCGTACTTCTCAATCCCTTCACTTTTTTCACTGTTAAACACACACACACACACACACACACACACACACACACACACACACACACACAGCATGCTAAATGGAAGAAGCCATTCACAAAAGACCATGCATTATACGATTCTATTTATGGAAAATATCCAGATAAGGCAACCCTTAAAGTAGATTAGTGGTTGCTAGGAGCCAGGTGTGGGAAAAGAGATGAACTATAAATGAACATGAAGGGTATTTTGGGTTGATTGAGATGTTCTAAAATAGATTTGTGGTGATGGTTTCACAACTCTGTAAATTTACTAAAAAGTCATTTAAGCATACATTTAAAATAGGTGAATTTTATTGTATATGAAATATTTCTCAATAAAGTTGTTAAAATGAATAGAGATAGATGATGATATAGGTTGATAGATGATAGATAGATAGATAGATAGATAGATAGATAATGGATAGATGATAGATTAGATAGATAGATAGATAGATAGATAGATAGATAGATAGATGAAATATAGATTTGAAGAGAAACAATTAAAAAGCAGTTTAAAGTCTACCAGGAAATTATCTGATTATTTAATTCATAGGTATTAATAAACATATCTTAAATGTGTTTCTCCAAATATCATTACTCTTTAGCAGTAAATGTTTTATTTGCAATGACTCTTTTCTGAAACACTTATTTTGAGAAATCAGAGGGAGCTGGGGATTATATATGCACAACTTCCAATTAGGAGTTTTTATTTAGTTTTAGAATCAAAATCTTTATAGATGCTATTAGAAGTGAATAAAACTGAAAATTTTGAGTTGTTAATTTGTGAATCTTCTGATGTTAATTTTGTATTTTGCAGAAGAGGTACCAGTTCAAATCCCAATGATGAAGTCAACATTGGACAAGATCCAACTCACTCCTGGGCAGGCATTGCCTCCTGGATTCCCTGGACCATTCATTTTTGCTGATAGTCTGTCTTCTGTGGAAACTCTGTTGACCAACATTCAGGTCAACAATATTTCTATAAACAAAATAAATGTAATACAAGACATTAGCACCTACATATATTATGTCATATTTGAGAACTAAAACATATCAGATGAACCGCATTCCATTTGCTGTACTTTGACAGGGTCTACTGAAAGTGGCTTTGGATAATGCTCGCATCCAGGAGAAGCAGATTCAACAAGAAAAAAAGGAACTGCGAATGGAACTCTATAGAGAAAGAGAAATTAGAGAAAACATTGAAAGACAACTCGCAGTTGAGCTTCAAAGCAGAAGTAAGTTTAACAAGATCAATTATGGAGTGAATACTGTGTTGGTGATATTTTCAATAGTAATATAAATATTTTTAGGGATAGCTTAGAAATGCTGAAAACAAATGCAAGCTAGGAATCAAATACTGTTTGTAATCTACAAAGTAGGATATTTAATCTATTTTTTCATAATAAAAACAATGAATTAGATATGCATTTCATTCCAGTTGCAGATTTGGAACCATGAATATTCCTAGTGTTCTCTACAATTTTATAAAATACACCTACCTGTATGTAGATAATCTAACAAATCTAGATTCTGGGGTTATAAGTTAAATAAAACTCAGTTCCTTTCCTTGAGAGATTTACATTTTAGAGAGCTAGCACAACCAACCAGTTAATTTCAAGAAAAAGTGGCAAGAGCAATGAAGTACAGTATATACGGTTATGTAGAGAAAGGCTAGTTAGTATAGCTTGGTGGTGGTGAGTGGGTAGATAGTTGAGGAAGACTTCCTGATGCTCACATCTGAACCTGTATCTTGAAGATTCAGTAAGCTACGGAAGGGCATGAGAGTTCCTGAGTTATTTTAACATTCTAGACCAGGGGTGAAGAACCCTTTTTATGCCAAGGGCTATTTGGATATTTTTTAAATATATTTTTATTGATTTCAGAGAGGAAGAGAGAGGTAGAGAGAGAGAGAAACATCAATGATGAGAGAGAATCATTGATTGGCTGCCTCCTGTACACCCCCCAATGTGGATCAAGCCCAGGATCTGGGCATGTGCCCTGACTGGGAATTGAACCTCAACCTTCTGGTTCATAGGTCATTGCTCAACCACTGAGCCATGCCAGTTATTTCTTCTTTGATCTCTTTCTTAACACACCCGTTGTTTAAAAACATGTTATTTAGTCTCCATGTGTTTGAATGATTTTTAGTTCTTTTATTGTAATTGACTACTATTTTCCTATCATATAATTTCAATCATCTTGAATTTATTGACTTATTTATGTCCTAACATGTGCTCTATCTTTGAGAATATCCCATGTGCACTTGAGAAGATTGTATATCCTATTGCTTTGGGATGAATTGTCCTGTAAATATCAAATAAATCCATCTGATCCAGTGTTTTGTTTAGGTAGCTGTTGCCTTATTGAGTTTTTGTCTGGAAGGCTTATTCAATGATGTCATTGGGGTGTTGAATCTTGTATTATGACTGTATTTCTGTCAATCACTTCCTTAATGTCCAAGAAAATTTTCTTTATATACTTAAGGTGCACATATATTTACAAGGGTTACATCCTCTTGTAGGATACATTCCTTTAATATTATGTAGTGACTTTCCTTGTCTCTTGTTATGGCCTTTGTTTTGAAGTCTATATTGTCTGATATGAGTATTATTATTGCAGGTGGTTTTTTGTTTGTTTGTTTCCATGTGCATGAAAGTTTTTTTCCCATCACTTCACATTCAGTCTTTGTGTATCATTTGCTCTGATATGTGTCTCTTGTAGAAAGCATATAAATGGGTCATGTTTTCTTATCCATTTCGCTAACCTGTGTCTTTTGATCAGAACATTTAAACCATTTACATTCAATTTTCTTATTTATAGGTACTTATTTATTTTTTATACCTATATTCTTCTCTGTATATATTCTTTTTCTTCTTTTTAAAGCAGGATCATTAACATTTCTTGCAATACTGGTTTGGTGATAATGAACTCCTTTATTTTTTTGTTTGTTCGTTTTTTGTTTTTGTTTTTGTCTGGGAAGCTCTTTATTTTTCCTTCAATTTTAAATGAGAACCTTGCTGGATAGAGTAGTCTTGGTTGTAACTCCTAGCTTTTCATCACTTTGGATATTTCATGCCAATCCCTTCTGGCCTGTAAAGCTTCTGTTGAGAAATCAACTGGCAGTCTTTTGGGAGCTCCCTTGTAGATAACTAACTGCTTTTCTATTGTTGCTTTTAAGATTCTCTCTTTGTCTTTAATCTTTGCCATTTGATTTATAATGTGTCTTAGTGTGGGTCTCTTTAGGTTCATCATTTTTATTGTTTAAAGTATTACAAATAGTAGTACATATGTCCCCTTTTCCCCCCATGGACCTCCCCCAGGGCTCTCCCATCCCCTGGCACATGCTCTCACCCCTCTAGTGTCTGTATCCATTGTTTATGCTTATATGTATGCATACAAGTCCTTTGGTTGATCTCTTCATTGGGACTCTCTGTGCTTCCTGAACTTGTGTGACTTCTTCCTTCACCAGGTGAGGGAAGTTTTCAGCCATTATTTTTCAAACAGGTTCCCTATCCTTTGCTCACTCTCTTCTCCTCCTGGTACTCCTATCATGCAGTTGTTGTTATGCTTGATGTTGTCCCAAAAGTTTCTTAGACTTCCCTCATTTTTTTTAATTATCTTTTTTTTTGATGCTCTGTGTATCTGCTTATTGTTATCTTGTCCTCTAAATTGCTGATTTTATCCTCTGCTTCATCTAACCTGATGTTGATTCCTTCTAATATATTCATTTCAGATATTGTAATCTTCATTTCTGACTGGTTCTTTTTTATAGTTCCTATGTCCTTTTTAATGCTTAATATCTCTATGTGTAATTCCGCACTGAGATTATCTATTCTGCCCTTTGGTCCTTGAGCATTCTTATAAGCATTATTTTAAACTCTGTGTCTGGTATTTCATTTCATTTATTTTTTTCAGGAGAATTTTCTTGTTATTTCATTTGGGACATATTTTTTGTCTCTCTATTCTGTCTGTATATTAGGTATATCTGCTATGACTCCTAAACTTCTTATAATGGGTTTATGATGAAGGTATCTTGCTGGGCTCAGTGGCACAATCTTCCAGATCCCCTGAGCCTAATGCTCCAGGAATTTTTTTTTGTGGGTTATGGGTACCCTCCTGTAGTAATCACGACTTGAGTGTTATTGGCCTTTTGTGGGTGGAGTTAACCCTTCAGCTACTTTTTGACTATGAGGATAAATCTAGATCATCATATAGGAGACACTATAAAGTGACTGCACCCCAAGGCAGAGTTGTTCCCAGCAGGGTCTGGTGCCTGCTGGAATCCTTCTTTGGTGTGCTGCTTGTGTGGCTAGTTGGGTGCAGCTCTGGTGTGTTCTGAAGTCCACTCAGGTTGTATTGGTTCTGGGTTTACTTGGGTGTGGTTCAGGTACAGGTTAATGTCAAGTATTGTATGTAATCAGCCTTGAGCTACCTGTCTGGAGCTACCTGTCTGGAGCTACCATGTTATTCACTATGGCTGCATCTATTGGGACTGGGTGTGTGTGGGAGGGGCCAATTTGTGTAAAAGTGTTGGCTTCCACTAGCTTAGTGCTGGGAGCAGGTATATAAATTGTCTGAGGCTCCCTGAGGTTCACCTCCATTTGTCAGCTACTCCACCTTACCCTGAGGTTACATGGTCCTCCCCCAGAGCCTTTCAAAGAAAGAATATAGAGTGGATCCAGTCTGACCACAACTCACTGACCCTTCAATAGGTTGCGGGCTTGTTAGTGTAGTGTGACTGAGGTCAGAAGGATGTGGCTATTGTGTCCCATTCATGGGGGCCACATGATCAGACACTCAATGAGGAGAAAGTGGTCCTTACTCCAGAGCCATATTTCTCAGTCTCTGCCAGTGTTTTCAACTATAGTTCAAACAGGAGGAGCAAGCTGCAGGTTCAGGTTGGGTGTAGCCAGTTGTCCCCTTTACAGAAGCAAGCTCAGCAAATGCTGTTAGGCTCTTATTATCCATAAAATTTGGGTCATTGGTTGATCATGGGTAGTCCATCTCAGCATATAAATTCCTTCTTGGGATCACATAAAATGATTTTTTCTTCTTGAGTTCCAAAATGTAAAGCATTGCTAGTTAAGGTAGAGTTATTTTTTAGCTTTCATTACTCTTTCTGCTTACAAAAAAAATGTTGTTGTGCTTTTAAAGGTTGCCAAAAATTGTTCTCTTTAAAATGGATGGATGGATAGATAGAAAGAAAAATGATAGATAGATAGATAGATAGATAGATAGATAGATAGATAGATAGATAGAAAAATATACTTGAAACTTTAAATTTTAAAAAACATATCAGTTTTACATTTTAAAATATGAATATCAATATCCTGATAAATAATAAGAATGTCTTTCTTAAGAGCTTTCTAAAATATTTAATGCTATTATTAAAAGCATGTTGTTAGTCAAAATAGAAAACAAGTCTCCAGCACTACTCCCACCACCATACAAAAGTGTGTGTATTAAAAAGCATACACATTAGAAAGACAAAAGCAAAAATAAGTCAGTGTTATGATTGAGCACTACTTGGCTGAGCTAATGAGAACTGGAATCAAAGGAAGCTAATCATATTTCGACTGATACATTTATATCTCTCTCTCTATCAGTAGTTTATTATCCATCAAAATTGACAACTCTCTTTCACTGACCAAGGCATTGTAAGCTGTTTAGCTTTTCACATTTTAGCTACCATGCAAAAGCGCCTGAAGAAGGAGAAAAAATCCAAGAGAAAACTGCAGGAAGCTTTGGAATTTGAATCAAAGCGTCGGGAGCAAGTGGAACAAGCCCTTAAACAAACCACTAGTAATGACAGTGGCCTGAGGATGTTGAAAGGTAATGTCTGATTTGGACTTAAACACATTCAAGTTACTCAAAGCAAAACCCCATTAAAAAAAAAAACAGGAAAGAAAGAAAGAAAGAAAGATGGAAGGAAAGAAGGAAAAGACTTTGTACATGAATTATTAAAAATCAATGTGAGGCCAAGTGATTTAGGTCATTAATTAAATCTGTCAAAATAATCTGTATTCTGGGAGATAAATAGTTTAGGAATAACAAGAAATCCTATTGGCTTTTGCAATAGAAAAAAAGTAGTACTAATAACTTCACTGCATCTAAAATCTGTTACAGGTCCATTAATGTTAAAATACGATGGTGTTTAGTGTACTCTATTTTAATGAACTAAACAATGCTGGTATCTTTAAAGCAGATGGCATCAGTGTTTAGGGTTTAAGGAGCATCTGGTTGAAAAAGGATGTTCCAAGTAAATCCCAGGAGATCCTTTGAGAAGAGGTGCTTTTGTTATGAAATTTCTTAATTCCAAACTTTTCTGTTTCCATTATTTTTTAGTCCTCACCCTACGATATTTTTTCCATTGATCTTTTAGACGGAGTGGAAGAAATAGAGGTAGGGGAGGAGAGAGAGGGAGAGAGAGAGAGACAGAGAGAGACAGAGAGAAACATTGATATGAGAGACATATCTATTAGTTGCCTCAAGCAATCGCCCCAACCAGGGCCAAGGATCAAACCTGCAACCCAGGTATAGACCCTTGAGTGGGAATCAAACTCACAACCCTGGCAACTACCTAGCAACACTGGCCAGTGCTTTGTTTCTAGTTTTTAATATATTTTTGTTGATTTCAGAGAGGAAGAGAGAGGGAGAGAGAGATAGAAACATCAATGATGAGAGAAAATAATTAATTGTCTGCCTCCTGCATGCCATACACTGGAGATCAAGCCTGCAACCCAGGCATGTTCCCTGACTGAGAATCAAACCATGACCTTCTGGTTCATAGGTCAATGCTCAACCACTGAGCCATGGCAGCCAGGCTTATTTCAATTTTTAATTATGAAACTCAACAACATTATTTCATCTCATAGAATAGTCAGATTCTCCTCTCATAGCACATTGACCACTCCTATATTTAACTAATATCCTATATAATAAAAGGGTAATATGCAAATAGAACAGCAGAACAACTGAACAACCAATCAAAGCATAATATGCTAAGGTTGCCAAACCACTCGCTATGACGTGCACTGACCACCAGGGGGCAGACAGTCAACTGGTTGACCAGTAGCTATGACATGCACTGACCACCAGGAGGCAGATGCTCCGACCAGTAAATTAGCTTGCTGCTGGAGTCTGGTTGATCGGGACTGAGTGAGATGGGCCAGACACGCCCTGGAGCCCTCCTGTGGTCCCTCCCTGGACTGATCATGCACCAGTGAGGTCCCTTAGCCTGGCCTGCACCCTCTCACAATCCAGGACCCCTCGGGGAATGTCAGGGAGCAGGTTTGGGCCCGATACCGCATGCCACTCCCATTGGGAGGACACCAGATGCAGGGCTCATGGCTGGCAAGTGCAACTGCTCCAGCATGAGCCTCTCCCGATTGGGACTGATTGGGTGTGAGCCTGTGGCAGGCACAGTGGGGCCAGGATGAGCGGAAGCAGCAGGTAGGAGCTGCAGGTGGCATTGGACTGTGGGTTTCGGCCTGATCCCAGCAGGCCACCCAGAGGGACCCCACCCGTGAATGAATTTGTGCACTCGGCCTCTAGTGTGTGTATAACAAGGATGAGCTTAAGAATTTTATGTACATATTTACACATACCCCTTACAGACATATTACATACACATTAACTAACAGGGGGGTGCTTCAGTGTCCTATACTAAGAATGAATAATGGAGTTTTACAACTGTTTAATTGTATTCTTTCCTTTCCAAAAGTTCAATTCCTTTTTTTACTATGACTCTCTTGGACCATTCTGCTCACAATCAATAGATATACAGTGCCAAATTATTAGCTCATATCAACCATGCCTCATTGAGACAAAAAAGAGAGAAAGTAAATAATAATACTACATTAATATTTCACACAATGGGATATCTCAGACAGTGGGAACCAGCATCCTTGCTTATTCAGTTTTAAAAATAATTTCTGACCAGCAATAGAAGAAATGTTCTGTGCAGTCTTATTATTTGAGGTCCTAAACTTATAATTCTGAGGCAGTTTGGTTTTTTTAAAAAAAACTTTTTAGAAATCCAAACATAAATGATCTCCACTCTAGCTCCAGTTTTCCTAATTGTAAAGGAAAAGCAGCTGTTTATAAGTATGATGGGTACCTTGTATGCAGATAATTTCCTTGTCAAGTGCATCCCTTATGGCAATGGGTGATACACTGGCATCTGTTATCACATTACAAAAATGTGTCTGAGCAAATGTCTAGATGCAGAAATGCCCATATTAAGCTCTACTTGATGTATATGAATAATTTTAGATAATTACTTTTTATATTTAAAATTGAAAATAAAAACCCAACTCCTTGTTTCTTTTCTTCAGGTTATTTTTAAGCAATTCATGTATTCCTTTGCCATTAGAGCCTATACTAAATCAAGACCACAAGCTGTAAACTGTGTTGTGGTGTTCATGAGTGTTTAGCATAGAGATAATCTCATCATCTATCACATTTTACAAAAGAAAAGTATACTATCAGGATGAAGCACTTCCACTTATGCAATTGTATCCATCTTTTAGATATTCCACAGTCAAGGCATGTTACCTGATAGTCTAAGAAGATTTTTTGGATTGATTAATTTTCTGAGATTTATCTCTAGAGAATGAAATGCATAAAGAAGTATTTACTATAGAGCTGAAGATATATGCCCAATTGTAGAATTCAGCTACAGTTTATAACTCTCCTTCCTAAGAAAAAAACAAATATACATCTAGAAAACAAAAACAAACATGCCATCCAATTTTTGTGTGTTATGTATAGGACCAAAGTACTGGCTTACTGATAGGTTTCACTTTAAAAGGAATCAGAAGAAAAAAGAATTGTACCTTAATCCTGAATGTCACTTTTTTCAGATACTGGGATTGAAGATATTGAAATAGAAAACAATGGGACTCCTCATGACAGTACTGCTATGCAAGGTACAGTAAATGGCACATTTCTCTCTATAACTGCTTAATTCATGACCCCTAGAGGTGGAGCAGGGATAAGCTCCTATATTCATACTCTTCATTTAAGTAAAATGAATAAGCTTAACTCTTCTTATTTTATGATAGAGGAAGATTATTTACAAATAATCATGCATGTGTGTATATAAACTAATATTTTACATATATAATCTGAGCAAATTTATTGTATGTTTAACTATTATAATGATGTACATTTATATGCTAGGCATATTCTAAAAATGCATAAATGTGAATACAATTTACCTTTTAGTAGCATACATAATATGCTTTTAAAAATCTCACTAACATTTGTAAAAGCCACGGGTACAATAATCATAACCAATTGATATTTTAAGTGTTCTGGACAACATTTTTATCAACCTTTAAATTTTGATGCTAAATTTCAATCATTTTAGAAACTGCCTAAATATGGAAAAAAGAGCACAAGTTGTTATTTATGATTTGCAGGATTCCAGTAAATGCTTAAATCATTTAAATATGAATATTTAGTGGTAAGAAAATACATGAAACAAATCAATATAGAGTCTCACTAGAGTGTAAAAGCACCTAAAACATTTTGACCACTGGAGTTTTTCCGGTGTGATTTTAATGCAGTTTTCTAGCCCCTTGTATGCTGATTATATTTATTTTCATATTTATTGTGAAAAAAATGTCTCACTCTAATAAAAAAGGCATCTCCATGAGAAAATGGCTTCCTAATGTTCAAAAAGGTAGATGACTATGAATATATTGCTTGTTGTAGGTTTGAGTAATCAGTGCTTTACACTTTCTGGTGAAAGCAACATCCTAGATGTGACCAAAAGTTCTATTTGGGTTAATCTGAGAGTCACCGTTTTATGGGGCAGCTTTACAAAATTTAGAAACCCTCATTAATGTAGTTTTGCATGTCATCTTTACAAAATTAGGAGTATCAGAGCTCATGGATCTTCTGATAATGTAGCTGGCTAAACATAACTAATGCATTAGCTAGGCACATTAGTAGGTATGAAAACATGTATGCTTAGCTCATTCAATAAAGCTTTTCTGTCTCTTATCCCACTTTTGCTTTCCTGCTTTCTTCCCTCAACTTATAGGCTTTGTCTATGTGACTAAAGTCAATTTGGATGGGACTCATTGTTTGTCCAATTCATTCACCACAGTGTAATTTATGAAGGAAATCCACTAGTTGTTGGCTACTACTAGTTGAGGTTACCACCACATATAAGGGCCAAGGCAGGATGGAATAAACATGAATCATTTTGATCCCTTCTGAATCTGTGACATACAAATATAGACCCAGTCTTAAAGGAGTACTGAGTTTGATTGTGGTTCTCATTTGAGTGAAATGTAAGGTCAGCTTTGGAACTGGAGAGTGTAAACCAAACTTACCATCAATGGGTTGTATCTTTATTATGCTTTATTCTATAATAGAGGCTGGTGCATGAAATTCATGCAATGGGGGGGGGGCTCCCTCAGCCTGACCTGCACCCTCTCGCAATCCAGGACCACTGGCTCCTAACCGTTTGCCTGCCTGATAACCCCTAACCACTATGCCTGGATGCCTCATTGCCCCTAACCACTCTGCCTGCCTGCTTGATGCCCCTAACCACTCGCCTGCCTGCCTGATCACTGCTAACCACTCGCCTGCCTGTCTTATCACCCCTAACCACTCTACCTTCCTGCCTGATCACCCCTAACTGCTCACCTGCCTGCCTGATCACCCCTAACTGCTCACCTGCCTGTCTGATCACCCCTAACCACTCACCTGCCTGTCTGATCTCCCCTAAACCACTCTGCCTGCTTGCCTGATTGCCCCTAACCGCCTGTGCCTGCCTGCCTGATTGCCTTTAACTGCCTCTGCCTTGGCCTCCCCTGCGGCGGCTTCATACAGAAGGATGTCCGGAATGACGTCTGGAAGGTCTTTTGGCTGTCTGGTCTAATTAGCATATTACACTTTTGTTATTATAGATTCCCAATTCATCACTATGTGTTTAATTTATATGATGGCTTTAGTACACAGTATCAACATCTTTCCCCACTATGATATAAATACAAGCTTTTGAACTGTCCTAAAGGTTTTATTTCCATGCATCAAACACCAGATATTTTATTCATGGGAGGTCAGTTATGTGATATAAGCAAAAGGTACATTCACTATCCATTTGGCATACTTTTAAAATTTTAATGGAGCCTATAAAAATGGTTTATGCATATTAACTTGTGATTAAGGGAGGCCACATTTAATAATTGTTTTCACTAAGTATAATTTGAATACGTTCTACTAGTCATTGCTGGCTATGCATAAAATAATTAGGTATATCTTTAAAAGGCTTGAGATGGAACTTATTTTATTTTTAAAACATATTTATTGTTGAAAATATTTTATATGCCCTCCCTTTTCCCCCATTGACCCCTTCTAGCCCGCCCCAACCACCATCCCAGGCCTTTACCACCTTATTGTCTAGACCAGTGATGGCGAAACTTTTGAGCTCGGTGTGTCAGCATTTTGAAAAACCCTAACTTAACTCTGGTGCCGTGTCACTTATATAAATTTTTTGATATTTGCAACCATAGTAAAACAAAGATTTATATTTTTGATATTTCTTTTATATATTTAAATGCCATTTAACAAAGAAAAATCAACCAAAAAATGAGTTCGCGTGTCACCTCTGACACGCGTGTCATAGGTTTGCCATCACTGGTCTAGACTTAAGGAATTAACTTTTATTATTTTTTATTTCAAATGACAAATCAAATTGTCAACTATTTGTGCTTAATATTGTAAATATATGGTGGGTAAAATTACCTTCCTAAACATCTATCTTTTATGTTATATTAAATAATGTTCTTATAAACATGATAAAAATGAAAAGGCACATATTCTCACCTCTCTTATGACAGAATTTAAGTAGTATAATAAAGTTCCTATCATCAACTTATAGAATGAATGCAGTGTGTTAATATGACAGTAGAATCACAATTTAATATATAAAATATTTTAACAAAATATTTACTCTATTAGCTAGGGATATTGGTTTCTGAAAATAGTATTAGAACTTATTTTAAGTATAATCCATAAAATTAATCAATTTAAAATTTACCTGAAAAATCTCAATAGTATTTCTTATTATTTAAGATTCTCAGAATTTCAAGACTGTGTTTATATGTATGTATGAACTTCAGAAAATGTATAATGCTTGGAAAACATAAAATGTAAGGTTAATCATTGTTTTTCCATTTTTCCTAATACTTTTGCTCTTGTGCATTATAGTACTTTTCTTCTGTGACCTATTTTAATACTGCTTTCATCTTTTTCACTTACCCACTTTTTAAACAGGAAGATAATTTCCTAGTATTATTTATGAGTACAACTTATGTATGCTAGCCTAATGCCATTTCCAAAACCCCTCTCCATCACAACCAAACAATTCCAGCATCAGTGATGTCTTTTCTCTTCCTATTGTCAATAGCTCTGCTGGATAGAAATCTGTCATTTACCTAGTGCTTTCCCTTTGAAATTCAATTAGTATCACTGTGACATCTCCTTCAGAGTTTAAAAAGGACTTGGAAGAATGTTGCTTAACCATCCTGAGAAGGAATAAAGTTATATACAGTTTATTATAATTTCCACTTGGATTTCAGTACAGATAAACTGCCCATGTACTAGTATTAATACATCTATTAGAAATAGAATTAGCTTAGTTATCTAATGTCTTTTATGCTTTGGATGTTGTTTGACAGACAAGATATTGTACATAGACCACCGTCTGATAAAAGGATTTACATATCTTTTGTATTTTAGCAGTCTATGATAGCAACTCTTCCTAAATATTTTACGGTGATCAAGCAATGAATACATACATACTCTGATGGCTGTGTCCACTATTGCTGGAGGTGAAGAATTTTGTGAAATATATATACTAATATCCTCCTACCTAGGTTTCCATAACTCCGTTGGGGACCTGCAAAACAGCACATCAACCATCTTATCAACCAATCTCCGTTTCACATAAAATAAACATACCAGGTGTGAGTAGGTGCACCTTCAGATCAATGATTTTTGTAAATGACATTCAAGTACCATTTGAGTAGTGCATTTTTGCTGATAAAAGCAAATTAAGTTAACACAACTACAAATGCGCTGATAAAAATCTCAAACTAAATAGCAGTGCCATTAGCTAACAAAGTAATATTTTCTCTTTACTGTGTTCTGCCATTTAGTTATTATCCTATTGGAAATCTAATTATAATCCTTTTACTCCCTAGTCCAACTTCACAGTTTTTGCAAGCTTAGCACTGACAAGTGATTTCATTACATTTGATTGCCCGTGCCCAGATTGACTTACCTTCACTTGGAGACCTAAAAGCCCTCTCAGTTTCTCAGATTCCCTGTTTGCACATTACACCAACAGCTCCTTTAATTAATTAGTATGAACAGCAGTAACATGAATTGCTGAACAGAAAATAACATCATTTTATGATCGCAGGGAGACTTCTCTTTTGCATGTGTATACCTTAGTTAACTTTTGTATGATTCTATCATTAGTAGGGGCTATTGGTACAGTTGATAGTAAATATTTATTAAATTTTTGAAAATTGACATCTCTCTTTTAATAATAATAGATAAAACAAACCCAGTATATGGAGCTTGTAAATTTTAGAAAACAGACAGCAGCCTTCACAAACTTCCTAGTAATAAAATAAAATAAAAGTTCAGGGGAGATAACATCATAAAGCACAAGGACACAGTGACACATTGCTCTTGTTTCTGCTACTGCATTTGCTGGGGAAACAAAACTAGACAAAAAGCTAAGAACTGCTTTGTCAAGAGTAATGTCAATCTCTATGATTACTTTTTATAATTGCTTTTTTGCTTACATGTTTGACATGGGATATACATTTAACATGGAATATACATTTAACACTGGAATATATATTTCCTCTGACATCTATACAAATAAAGAGGTAATATG